ATTGAAATGTAAGCAGAAGTATTGTGAGGAACTTCCAGGAAGAATACGTTAATGGAGCTTTCTTAAAGTAAAAAGACTTCTTCTTTTGCTTTTCTGCCGTTACTCCTTCAGGCCTGCAAGGTGATGACTCAAGCACTAGTAGTCATCTTGGGCCATGAAATGACTAAGAAAAATGGTAGCCATTAGTTAGGATGGATGGTGGAGCAGAATGATAGAAATCTGTGTTCCTTAGGACATCTAGCCACCATACAATCTCTGCACTGCCCTCCTCCATATATCTATTATGTTCATTTCAGCCAAAAAGTATGTGCCAATAAATCCTACCTACTATAGAACATAGGGAAGAGAATATATTTCCTTGTATCATCACTGTCCCAGAATTCATGACCAGTCAACGAGGTTTAGAATATTTGTGAGCAGCATATATAGGTATTCATTTCCATATGATGCTAACAGAGACCTGGAGGGGGATTTAGAGTGAGAGATAAAAACTATAAGGTTGATTTAAAGAAAGAACATAATGACATCTACAGAGAGAAGTTATGCTTTGATAGTTAACAGATGGTTATCCTGCCCCCAAGATGAGACAAGCTTTTCTACAAAAGAAGGTGCTCCAGTTCTAACTCCACTTCTAACACCATACTTCTGACTCTACAGCGTTATCATCTGGAACACAAGGAAACAAGGAGATACCATGATGGAGGCTCAACTTCTCATAGTTTTTTTTTGCCTCAGTGTTTCTGTGACTATATTACTCACTTTTTTTGTAACAAAAGTCATTGCATGTTACTGAACTGTCTTTAATCATCATGTTTCCTGAACTGGAAGATAGATAGTGATGATTACAAAAGAACATTAGCAAGAACAACAGAAACTCCATATTTCCAATATTTCACTTTTGAATGTGAAGAAAAATTTGCCAATTCATTTTCTCAATGATGTCTTTTAAAGAATAAAAAAATTCAATTTTGGTTAAGTTCGATTTACCAATTTTTCTCTTATTATTATTTTGTGTGTTCTTTCTAAGAAATCTTTGCCTACTCCAAGATTATGAAAATATCTTCCTATATTCTAGAAGCTTTATATTACATTTATGATCATCTCAGATTAATTTTTGTGTATGGGTATGATAGGTTGAAATTTACCTTTTTCATATAGATAGCCACTTGTTTCAGTAGTAGTTGCTTAAAAAGACTTTCCTTTCCCTATTAAACTGATTTGGAGCCTTTGTTGAAATCAGTAGACTATATGTGTAGTCTTATATTTCTGGTTTCATTTTGCTTAATACTCTACTCTCGTGATTACTATAACTTTATAGTAACTGGAAATAAGGTACTGTAAATACTCTAACTTTGTTCTTTTTTCAGTATTAGTTGATTGTTCTAGATCCTTTGCATTTCAATATAATTTTAGAATAATCTATTTCTTAAAAGTAATTAGATTAGGATAACTATTCCCTCAAAAATAACTTGCTGGAATTTTTATAGGGGTTTCATTAATTCTATATATTCATTTAGAGTAAATTATAGCAATTTGAGTTTTCTAATCCATGAGCATGATATATCACTGCATTTTCTTGGACTTTATTCACTTTCTCTCAGCAATTTTTATAGTTTTCAGTATGAAGGTCTTACACAAATTTCACTAGTTTTATTTCTAGATATTTGTTGTTTTATTGATACCATTGTAAAAGTTTTTCTTTAAGTTTAATGTTTTGTTATTGCTAATATACAGAAGTATAATTAAATATATACATTGACGTTGTATCCTATGGCCTTCTCAAATTCAGTTATTAATTCCAGCAGTTTATGGACTCCTTTGGATTCCTTTTAGTATAAAGAGAAACTTAAATCTCTCTTTCACCCCTGTCTCTCAGTCCACTTCCCTAGTTCTTGCTCTGCAAGACATCACAGCACCAGATTCTTTTCTTTCTTTTCAGAAATAGGCAAAGCATATACAAAGAAGCACCAATAGTACTGCAGTACGCATTACATATAGTTTTGTGTTTTGGTGGTCCCTCACTCCACCTTTCTGAGAGGATCAAATTTGTCTTGAGTATCTACAATTCATATGAAAATGTATTAAACAAAGAAAACACGTTTTCAAACTTGTTTGAAAACTATATTTTTCTCCAAATTTATAATATCAAAAAATGAAATAAAGCATAGTTCCAATGCTGCTTAACAATATGAATTAATAGAAAGTGCTACATACTGTGAGTATTTTAATTATGCGAAAGTATTACAATTTGGGATTATATATGTTCTGTTCTACAATCAGTTTTGGGGGCGCCGGTGATTTTCAATATTGGCTGCTCCTTGGAATCACTCAACTTGCTTTAATAAAAATACTGATGTGTGGGTTCTACCCCAGAGAGTCTGATTTTATTGATGTGGGATATGGACTAAGCAAAGGGATTTTTTAAAGTTCCCTAGGTGATTTTAATGTGAAGCCAATTTGAGAACGGCTGTTTTACACCTTACTAAAAAAAAGTATATATAATGTGTGTGTATATATATATGTATATAATGTGTATATATATATATAATGTATATATATATAATGTGTGTGTGTATATATATATATATATTCTCCTCAAGGGAGATTTTAAATGCAGAAGAAGTCTATATAGTTTATATAGTTTGTATTTGTAATTTTTATAAGCAGTGTCATGGATCAAAAAGTTAAATAACTTAGAAACATAAAATTCGAGTAACCTTACCTAAGGCAATTAACCTTTCCACATACTGTTTCTGCACGCCCCAAATTGAAACCTTAGCAATGAACTGTAACTTGCTCTTGTTAAGAAATTAGTGCAGGTCTCTTTGAAACACAAAATATGAAAAAAAATTTAAACATAGAAAACAAAAGTACAAGGATTTAGGGGGGAAAAACTTAAAAACACATTGTGTTGATATTTAGTACTGATTGTTAACCTTTTGTAGTCATGGAGAATTGCTTGGGGACAATGTTGTAATACTAAGTCAAATGGTCTATTTGACTGATTCAGACTGCCCTTTCTTATATTCTTCTATTCTAAAAATTTTAAGCAATATTCTAAAATAATGCAAGAAACACATGGCAAGGAATAAATAAAACTAATGTTACCTAGAGTAGTAGTTTCAGAGGAGTTTGTTTTAATTGACAAAATGAAATAACCATCTAAATACTTCAGTATCAAATCCCATATTTTCAAGGCTTATTATTTAAGTTCCAATCATCCTAACATATTGCTTGATTGAGAAGTACATAATACTACATTAGAACTTCTGTAGATTTTAAACCAATTTTTAAATCTAAAGTGAGGTATAACACAGGCAAAAAGGATATATTACAAAACACAGCCCTAACACAGTGACACAAATTAGGTTCTGAGTAATCATTAGCGGATAGGCAGGTAGGCAGGCAGGATGGAAGAGAGGCAGGGAAGTATTCTCTCTCTCTTTCTCTCTCTATCTATTACTATCTATCTATCTATATGCATATATATATATTAGGCTATATATAATATATACTTATTAGTAGAACAATGCATTTGAAGTCTATCATGAGAATTTCTACAAAATGCAAAATGTTTCTTGAGAAGGATCTGTATATAAATTCCTCCTTTGCCATTTAAGACCATTGTAAAATTGGAGAAATCAGTTAAACTCTTTATTTTTCTCATTTATTTAAATGCATGTAATAGTACTTCTTAGGGATGTTTTGAAGATTGAGTGTGATCATGTTTATGAAAATGCTTACGCAAGAGGTGGGCTGGATCTTCAATATATGATCATTACTTAATTTTCATAATTAAACCTAAATCACTTTTGTTTTCATAATCTTATTTAAATCTGAATTTTATAAGATGCATTCTGAAGTAAAGAGTAGCAAGCACCACCAAATAGCTTATCTTCTCCTTTAGTTAATTTATTTTACTAATCTGAATCGTTGAACACTTCACTGTCCATCTCTAACATGGCTGAGAATAAGGAGTTGATCTAAGTATGTGAAAGAAAAATGTATCCTAAATTGTGCAATGACATTGTTACTCTTATTATTTTATGTATTTGAATTTATACCATCTTGATGCTTTTGACCCTTGGTACTCAGTGTGTGCCATAGACCGAGGATGATGTTGTCACTTAGAGTACTTGTTAGAATTCCAGATCTACTCAATCACAATCTCCATTTTAGCAAAATTCCCAACTAATTAATATGTAGACACATTAAAGTTTAAGAAGTGCTGCCGTAGATTATGAACAGTTGGATATTACTCTTATGAAAATTTAAAAATATATGACCTAAACTCTGCATAAATTCTTATTGCATGAATTTTGTTTCTGGATCCTATGGACACAGGTTTGTTGTAAAGAACACTAAATCAGGAGTCAAAGCATGCTTTTTTGATATTGGCTGTGCCATTTAAAAGTAGTGAAAATGCATCAAGTTCTTAAACTTCTAAACTTTGTCATTTGTAAAGTGAAGGGCTAGTTAATACATCTCCTGATACTCAGTGGGATTATTTAGAGGTTTAAGTGAAATGGCACTTTAAGAATTTTCAAGGTCTGTACACATTAGGTGCTATTACAATCTATGAGTTTAGATCAGCTGACCACAGGTATATTTTGAGTAAGAACTTATAAGGGAGGAAGACAAGATGACAACCAGAGTTTAATCATTCCTTTATAGCTGCTGCTTTATATCAGAAATAGAAGGTGGCTTAGGAAATGAGTGTCCTAAAGAGAAAGGTAGTTTTGGATAATTTTGATCTTTATTTTTACTGATCGATTTGTGTTGACTTTGAGTGGTGGTCCAATCAGTTACTTTGTAATTAGCTCACAACGAAATTTTATTCAGAACTTGCCTTCAATTTTTCCTAGGGATGCTCTCAGTTAGTAACTGACTTGAGATCTGAGGAAATATCATGTCCCCTGGATTTGACATGGCAGTGAGGACGTCGTGAGGGATGTCTTTATGGAAGTCAACGATGCAAATTCTGGTTCTTTCCATTACAGATAAAAAGACTTGTGGTCCTCATGAATTCCAGTGTAAAAACAACAACTGTATTCCAGATCACTGGTGGTGTGATAGCCAAAATGACTGCAGTGATAATTCAGATGAAGAAAACTGTAGTAAGTAACTCTTGCTTGAGAACGTTGCAAGCTTGACAGCGTATTCAATAAGCAGGATAGCAATTTTTAGTTCGGTTAAGGTATGAATTTGAACCTGTCTGTCCTGCAGCTCACATTTTTATACATATATTCACATTTGAACAAGAATATTCAGACTAAATTGACCTAAATCTCAAACGGTAGAATTACTGAAATGCTCATCCTGGGAGTCATTTTCTTACATTTATCAGAATTAGTATGAAAGTATCATGAGGTTTAATGTAACACATTAGTATGCAATGAAGGTAGCCCTTGATGCAAATTCATACAAAGAGCTGAATGATATGGAGACAGTACAAAACATATCATTCTTTAATGGATGGAATTCATTTTATTTGTCTCAAATCCTTTTACACTACAAATTCACCCAAGAGCATCTTTCAGTGAAATATCATTTATTCTCTCTGGAGTGGTGAACACCATATGTATTCAGGATGCTTTCCTCTCAAAATAGAATAAAGCTATTATCATCATCTGCCTCCTGCATTTTTATGTAATAAATTTAAAAGACATTAATTAACCAACAATTTTATTTTCTAAGAAGCATGGCAGTATGTAAAATTGTGATAGTATCTCTATCTTATAGCATTAATTTCTGAATGTATTTCTTACTGGCACTTTCTTATGCTGCTGTTTAAATAAAGAGACAATATAATCATGTTCAAAATAAGATAATAATCAAATTCCATTGATTAAATATTTACATTCTGCTACTTCCAAAAAGGATTTTATGATAACAATAATGTCTACTCTTATGCATTGGACTTAGAGCATTCATTTCCCAAGATACAGGAGACAAAATAGGAATTGTTATATTAAAGCATGGGGATATATTATTTAAAAGCATACGATTAGTAGAGTCACAGCTTTAATACACCACTTGGATGTTCAGTTTGCAAAATGTCAACTAATGTTTTGAATAACTTTCAGAACTTAATCTGAATAGTGTTTGAGTATCAGGTACATTAATTATGAAATCTCTGGATCATTATGATTATGAAATACTTTGAATATAGAAAGTATTACTATTATTACTCCCTCTTCACATAGATATCTCCCAATTGATTGTACTCTTTAGAAAGGTAAAGAGTATTGCAGAGAGTCATTAGAGTGTTCTAGATTCCTTTAATCAGTAATTAAAAAAACAATTTTTATATAGCATGTTTTCAGATTCTGTCCAGTGATTAAAATAAAAATCTAATGGGGTGATGGTGGTAAGAATAGAGGAGAAATATAAAAAAGAAACAATTATTTTATACTTTTAATTTATTTTATTTGTATTTCAGAGCTTAAATACACAGATAACTACTTAGCTTAGTTTTGGATACATTTAGTGTTAGTTATCAATAATATACCTGAGAGGAAATGCCTGTGACTGAAGGATATTGAAAACAAGAGAGGGTAGGTGGGAAGGCAACACAGGAGACTCACATCTTGGAAGACTCTTTATTCAAGTGGTAATTTAAATTGTGTGAGAAGTTAGGTTACTGCTTTAATGAGAAATAAAGAAGAATGAAGGGTTGAGAAAGCTCACTTCTGAGTCTCCTGGGGTTTCTTAAGTGGCTGAATATCATTTTGCTGACATCTCCTAAAAGTCATCTTCTGATGCAAGAAAGCAGGGAGAAGGAACATTGCCTCTCACTTGTCACCGTGGAAACTTAGTGATAAATCATTGTAGCCACAGGGCCCTTAAGAAAAAGCAAGGGAATTGACTGCAGTATCAAGCATTGCAGTATAAAATACCCAGTTATGTGTGTATCTCTTTTAGTTCCTACTCACTCTGAGCTTGTGGCTAAGACAAGTAATATTGATGAATTTGCAGCGGAGAGATGACAGTGAACAGGAATGAAGCATATTATAGTTGTGACATGGAAGAATAGAAGGCATACACAGGATAAGTATCAGAGTGGGTAACATGTTAAACATGTAAGAATATGTAAGAGAAAGGATCATGGGCTCTACATCATTGAGTGGTGTTTGAAGATACCATCTTGACTAGGCCAGAAAAATGGGAAGATTTAAGCATTGAAAATGCCAGTTCCACATAGACAGAAGCTGAGTCTCTGAAGAATGAGAAGAAAAAATACAGTATATCTATAGGGAATACCAAGAGACTAGTCCCATAGAAGTCAGCCTTAGAAAAAATACTATTGCTGTATTAAAATGCTTTCAAGATATTTCCAATATCTTATTATCAATTGAAATTATTACAATAATATGTATATAATTACAACAGAACTATTATAATTATATACACATAATTATAATATATATTGTAATTATGACTATATTATATACATCACACAATTTTATATATATAATTATAATATATATAGATGACAAAAATATACCCAAAAGGACAGCGGTATGTTATTATGTTTTCTAAATGTTATTAGTCAACGATATGCATTTTAGTGCACATTTTGTCATTTATTGTTAGCTCTTATTAAGTAGTGTAACATACCAGAGATAGTAAATTGGCCTTATACAATAGCAACATGCTTTTTTTTTTTTTTTACAGGCCTGCATACTATCACACAACATTCGCTTGCATTCCAGTGCCTCACTTATTTCTTTATCACATTTATCTGAGTTCCTACTTAAATATCTGGAGATGGTCTAAGGAGTAGGGCTATGTACCATGGTCTAACACAGTGCCTGACACATATTTATAATATTAGCAATGTATTTTAAAGTTTTCTTTTGGACTTCTTTGTTTGTGAATCATATATAATGAATTAATGTTTTAAATTGTATTGGAAACATTCCGGCCATAGATATGGGAAGAGCTGGAATAGCAGTGGAGCAATTAACTGCCAGCTATGTTTTAGTTTAATATGCTTTCTAATGTTTTATATCTACATAAGATAATTAGTCCATTGTCATTTCATCATCTGATGATGATCATTTCCCTTGTTAAGTGTTCAGCAGGGACACTTTGCTTCAGCAGTGATTTCTGCTCTTAAAAATAAGAAAATTTCATTGTTATTGGAGTAATTTTGTAATCTGGATCAAAGATTTGGAAATATTTGAGAAATCTTGACATCTCTACTATTTTCATCAGCAACAAATATATATATAGCATGTATGCCTTCTAAGTAATTGATGTGCAAAATAAAATTATTTCATATCTTTGCATTATTAAGAAGTAACTAGCATTCCAATAGATTTTAAAGTATCAAATAATTTGATCAACTAGATCAAGGTTTATGTAGAAAGACAAGCTGCATCTGCCTTATTTGAATTTCTAGTACTTTCACACTGAATTTATATGAAAAGATTTTTTGTATAGCATGTCAGTTATACTAATTGTATTCTAAAAATTCTCCTCAGATGCTCACACCCACATTGATATAACTTTTGAACTTATCACCGAGGGTTTATGATAGTATACTCAGTGGAGAGATTGGAGTCTGGAAGCTTTTCTGCTATGCCACTAACTCTGTGGCTTTGAAAGTTGCTTTTATTTTCTGAATATAGCTTCTTAGGTTTTGTGCAAGACGGCTCTCATAGTTCGTTTCAATTCTGAGGCAGTATGTTTGTGCCTTCACTAGTATCAAAGGAAGTGACCAATTTATACTATGCCTTTATTTTTTATCCTTATTATAGAATCAGCCTTCTGAAACATGCCCTGTAAAGGCTTCTTGGCTGTGAATCTAGCATGTTTAAATGAGATTTATGGAAAACCTGGTTAATCATTCATGTATGGGATTCCCTATCTGTTTTAGATCTGGGGAATAGGTAATATCAGACCAAGTTAGTGTGGGAAAAACATTTTAGAAATACTAGGGAAAATGTCACATTTAAATTTTCTTTCAAGATGGGTTAGATTTCAGGTATAGTCATTTTTTTGTTCTTTTTCACAAGAAAAGTGCCAACTATCACACCAAGTTCTAAAAATTGGTCTTTTACTTTATTCTGAAAAGATTAAAGGCAAGATAAACAATTAGAGAGTACAATCACTTAGGATCTTCTCTCATAACAAAATTACATTTTCCTCAAGAGAGAATTTCTTTTGAGATAACTAGTAGCAAAAAATTCTAAGGCATATAGATGAGAGTTAGAAGCAGATTAGCTTCCCCATTCCTTGATGTCATTTGTGTATGTATAAATAATTCAGGATTATTATTCAGAAGTAGATTTGCTGGCATTTTTTAAAAACATGGTAGAAGCATACAGAATTTCCATTTGTATTGAAAAATGCTTTTCCAAGCAAGTCTTTCAGTTCCTTTGCACACATATTGGAACGGAATAATTAACAATTGTAAGACAAGTCTCTATAGATCAGATGTTCTGTGGAACTATTGGGCAAATGCCTTGAACTACTAGCTATACAACTTTTCTATAACCCTGCATCAGCAACATCCAGCCCTCCCCATAGCAGTGTGTAAAACCCTGTGAAATTATTGCTGCTTAGCACATGATAAACACACTTGCTTTTAATTAGAATAAAGGTAAATTAGAATATTAAAGGAAGAATTATCCTGTTTGGATACCCTCATGTCCATGAAATAAAATGATTCTACTGCTGTTTTAAAACATCTAAATATACTATGTTTTAGATGTACTCTCTCTCTCTTTATTATTTAATGAAAATATTTTAATGTTATTTACCATCGTTTGATGAATTGAGCATTGATTAATTAATTTATTTATTTTACTATAATTTCTTTTCCCTGAGAATAAAACTGCATGTGTCTGCAAATAGATGGAAGGTGAAACAGCTTCAGTATGGATGGATAAAAAGAGAAAAAGGGTTTTCTTTTATTATTATTGTAAAGTGAAATAGACATTGCTAGACATGTGCCTTGGACAATTAACTTGACTTTTCAGGGCTCTAATGTCAATTCCTGAAATAGGTGAGCACTTATTACTTCTTCAGTGGTATAGGAGGCAATGATATGGCCTAGCAGTAAAAGTATAGGCCCTGGTATCAGGTTGTCTAGGTTCAAGTTCAATACTAGCTCTTTTGCCTGCTGGGTGATTTGGAGTAAATTTCTTATCCTCTCTGTGCCTCAATTTACTCATCTAAAAAAGAATCCAACGATAGCACCTACCTTACAGAGTTGTAAATATTAACTTACAAGCTAATTCAAGTACTTGGCATTAACTTCACCTAGTGCCTAACAACAAACAAGAAATCAGTAGCTGGTAATTTTTATTATTGTTATAATTAGTAATATTAGTATTAATAAAGTTGTTTTTAAAATTAAAATGTAGTATGTGTAAATACAGTGCAAAGTCAAAAAGAGAAACTGTTCTTGTCACGCTGTCTAAACAAAGGAGTATTGAAAAATGAGGGGGGGTCCCCCCTTATCATGCTATTGATAAGCATCTTACCTTATTCATAGTCTGAAGTTCACATTTTAAAGTCCCAGAGCAGAGCAAAAAGCTCTGATACATATTCCACGTTTCACAACTCTTCCAGTGTTCTCAGACGGGGTCTTTATATAGAAATGTAGGAGTCTTCATGATAGCAAACATTCAAGATGTTTTCGCTAGAAACCTAGTGATTGTGTAGAGCAATATTCAAATACAGGCTGAATTATGCACAATCTTTATGTAGAAAATTATGCTTCATATGAATATTCCTTAAATTTAATTTCAGTTACCTATTTCTCTTCCATCCGAACAAGAATATTATTGTGTGTGAGACAGCTGTAAATACAGTTAATGACTGGGGGAAAACAAGAAGGGGTTCTCTCATCATACCAGATATCAGTTCTCTTTGGAGAAACAAAACCAAACAATAGATGATGCCCAGCAGTCGAATTGATTACTTGCAGGAACAAATTTCTGCAATCCTACTTCATTGTCCAGATGAAACATATTCCACATAGGAATGAAGCCAAATCGCAAGTCACAATATTTGGCTTATGTCCTATGTGGAATATGGTGAAGCATAATTAAATTAAATTGGGAAATTATCTAAAATGGCAGGTAAATTATGTAGGGCATAAGCAAACAATTGCATAAATAAAGAGGCAATTTTCAAAAAAGAGTCTCCTGCCTCTTCAATCCTTACCCACCCAGTCCTGTCCAGTAATACCCCCATGTATAATTTAGTTCTAGGAACTCTGGATTTTCTGGGGACAAAATTGAAGAATTAGAAAGTCATTAGAATACATAATAAAAAGTCAAGAACCAAATTCTAGAATCTTCAGTAAATAAACAGCCCTGGGTACCCACAGGGAGTAACAAAATGTCTTACTTGCTTTAAGTAAATACATAAAATGACTTAGAATTTCAACTGGAAAAAATTGTTGTTTTGTTTTAATGTGTAGATTTTTATGCCTTTTAATTTACTTTCCTGCTGCATTTTTATTAAACAGTAGACTATTTGTCTTTTGTCTTTTTTTCAATTTGTTTCTATAATGCCACTTTCTATTCATGACTTTAAAAATAAATTGGAAAAATCATTATATTATGTACCATAGATCCTTCATGAAACATTTTTTCTAAACAATTTATTGGTTCTGCTTGGCTAACCTTTATTTTCTTAATGCTACCTCATGTTGTATGTCATATAAATTTTAGAATGAAGTTGCATATAAGAGAATAACCCTGTGCTATTTTTCTGTCCCCAGAGCCACAAACCTGTACAATGAAAGATTTTCTCTGTGCCAATGGGGACTGTGTTTCTTCAAGGTTTTGGTGTGATGGAGATTTTGATTGTGCAGATGGCTCTGATGAGGTAGGCATCTTTGCAAAATCAAACAAAAAATAAAGCAGTTCCTTAAACTTGCATTTGTAGTTATTATTCATTTCAAGGAGTGTGACAAGGACAGCTCTGAATGCATTTTGCTCCTGACACACTGAGATAAGTGTTATATCTAAGCGCCGTGCTACACACATCCAGCACAGGGAAAAGCTCTTGTGCTACTATTGACAGTTAATTTTATAGTCTCTTTTACCTCAAGTGGTGAATGGTTGGGTTGGGAATAAGATGTTTGGAAACCCTATTCCCTATAGCTGATGCCCTTGCCATCTGTGAATTTGTTCATAAATTTGCTGCAGTATTTATAGTCAGGACTAATATTTTTATGCATTTTAAACAGTTTCTTCTCCCCAGTCTCTTTCTTCAGTACATATAGTCTTATAGACTTAGATATGGGTCATCAATTTTTATGAAACCGCAGGTTTAGCTTAGCTTAGATGATGAATCACAATCCATTTATAATAAGCTCTACATACACACAGTTAAGGGAAAAAGTTTAGAATTTCTCTGGATAATTCTGTAATCTTAGATTGTGCTAACATTTATAAAACTTCATGCAATTCATTACTTATGCATCTGTGTATTCGTGTTACAGATATTAATCACTCCATGATGCTTTAAAAATAATACATGACACACAGTAATAATCATTGTGATTACTATGAGAAAATAGTGGTTTTCTCTGTTAATGATTTCTCGTGTTACTATCAGGAACATAGCACTTGTGTAATCAAGTCCAGTCAGAGATGAAGGAAAAATGAGGTCTCTGGAGCTCAGTGGCCACCATGGCTCCTCCTGGTACACAGTGACTCCCTAGACCTCCCTAGACGATATTGACTCGAATATGTACCTACCCTCACGAAGGGCCTCCCACTGACTGTAGGCTTGGCAAGAAGGAATCCTCCTGCTGCTCTAGAGGTTTCTGTGTTTCAGGTTCAGCTTCCTTAAGTATCCACTGATTACCCGCCTCTTTGGGAGACACTGCAGGTCTCTATTAATGATAGAGCCCACACTAACTAGATCTTTCCCAGCCTTCAGGTATTCTTATCAAGTTTGGACAGTTCTTCTCCATTCTCTATCTTGGAAAAGTTCCCCTAATCACATAAAAGAGTCTAGATTTTGGAAACCAATGCACTTAATTTCTCACCTGAAGTCCAGAAAACTTAAACCTTTAGGCTGCAAAGGTCACTTAGGAGAAGATGAAAAATACTATTTCTATTCATGGGGCTATTCACAAAACAAGTCAAAATGAAATTTTTAAAAATGCACAGGGAAGTTCAAGTCTTACATTGCTCAGCTACATATTTCCTTAGTATCTGTTTACTCAAAAATTGTATTAAATGTTTCCCAGTGAGGAAAATATATTTCACATAAATTCGTCCATATCATTAAAATGTTTTGTTTTTGTTTTCTTTAAAAAAATGTGTTCCATGGGGCTTTCCTGGTGGCGCAGTGGTTGGGAGTCCACCTGCCGATGCAGGGGACACGGGTTCGTGCCCGGTCTGGGACGATCCCAAGTGCCGCGGAGCGCCTGGGCCCGTGGGCCATGGCTGCTGGGCCTGCGCTTCCGGAACCTGTGCTCCGCAACGGGAGAGGCCACAGCAGTGAGGGGCCCGTGTACCACAAAAAAAAAAAAAAAAAAAAAAAAAGACGTGTTCCATCAGCACCGTGTAATTGTGAAACATCAAGGGTGGGGATATATTGCTTAAGGCTTGTGATTTCATCTTGCATGTTGTTCACTAGATGTCCAACATACGTAGACAAAATCAAACACTTCTTTTTCAAAATCTTATTCGCATGAAAGCAGACATCCTTATCTATGCCGTTTCTGTCATGCCATAAGTACATGAGCATAGTTCTCTGATGGCTGAATATATCTCCATTATCTGGACATTTTTATGATAATGTCCCTAGGGAATTAAATTAACTCTCTGAAAGGTGGTCTTTCTCTACATTTACAAACATTTAGTATAGTCTATATGTAAGGAAGTGGCTAACACTATGGGCAGCTGATTTCTATTTCCTTTCTAAAATCTAGCTTGATAGGTTTCATTGACAAGAAAAGCAAACAAACAAATAAAAAGGTGAGCTGAACAAATGGCTAGAAAGCATAATTACATACAGGATATTCTCATATTAGGAACAAAAGAAACTTGTGAGGATTAATTTTGTATGAACGTTAACTGAATTCGTTTGTTAATTTCCAGCCAAAACAAAAAAAAAGAAACCAAAAACTTGGATCAATGTAATTGTGTATCAAGTTAGTGGCAAACACAGAGAAGAACTATTTAAAGTGCCTTTAAAATATAATATATGGCCTCTGCATCCAGTATAACATACTGTAAGGACAAAAAGAAATGTAAAAGAATCTTAAACTGTATTCGTAGATATGTTGTTAAATAATAACATTGGTTTTGCTAATTTGAATTTCATATATCAATATCTTAAGAGTAGGATAGTTCAAATGTTAAATTTTTAAAATATTATTAACACTCAAAATTTTTAAGTAAAATAAAGGAGATACAAATCTAGAAACAATGAAAGTTAATAAAAGTCCTGTAATTAAATTCAAAAGTATCAGTTTGAGATCTTGATTTATTTTTCTCCTTTTTAAAATATATATTCTTAGCTCTGCCACTGAAAAATCCTAAAACCAATGACATCACAGCCTTAAAGACTATCTCTAACATTCACATCATGACCTCTAAATACATTTTCCAATTAACAGAATCAAAACCCCTTTAAGAAATGTTTAATTCTAGGTCTGAGAAAGGCAATTGACAAAATGAGCCACTAACATCTTGTCAAGCCAGAAAACAAGGCTATTGGGTTAGTGTCCAGAGTACATAGGAGCAAAATTGCAGGGCTTTCCACTGACAAAAAGGACAATTTGAGCATCAGAAAGAAAAAACAAATGACTGTAATATATTGAAATACAATAAATGTACAAAAATACATGAGTTCATAATAATACTTAAACAAATAAAAGCTCAGTTGTTACTTTGGAGGTTGCTAAGGTATCAGCATTCTTAGGATTCACTCAGCCAAAATCAGAATGTGGGACATTCTATAGAGCAAATGACCTGGTTCCTTCAAGTAGTAAATGGCATTTAAAAAAAGTAGGGGAATGGAAAATAGTTACACATTAAAAGAAACTCAAATCAAACTCAGTGTATAGACATATTTACATCCTTCTTTTACCAAACCGTATTTTTATATAGTTAAGAAAATAAGAAACTTTTTAATGTGGATTGGGAATAACTTTAAGAAATTTTTGTTAATTCCATGATACTGTTAATTTTCTGAAGCTATCATTGTTATGTTAAAGTTCAGAATATAAATAAATTGGAGGAGAGGATTATGAAACATGAATAGCCAAGTGTGGATAATTGTTAAATATGCATAATGAGCACATGGGTCTTATTATTCTATTCTCTCTATTTTTCTGTATGTTTTTAAATGTCTAAGATAATTAAATACCCCACAAATATAAACACAGACACACTGCATCCACTATACTGTAATCTATTATAAATCAAAATCTTCTGATGATAGAAAAAGTGTCTAGAAGTATTACCTTCTGTGTTATTGTCAATACCAATAGACCAGTGTTACTGGTTACTGAACTCTTTTACTTGAATTAGCCTTATTGCTGAGATAAACATTAATTAATTCTATAAATATATACTGAGCAGTTATAATCAACACATATATTAGACACTTGATTCATAGACAGACATGATCCCTATCCTAGTGGACCTGAATTACATAAAATGTTAATTTATATTCCTGATTTTCTACATTTGCTACTTCATTCATTCAACCATTTATTCAGCAGTTTTTATTGAATGCTTACTTATTGAATGTGTCCCAGACATAGTACTGGGCATGGAAGAGGAAGGTGATGAACAAAATATATGAAATTACTTTCTCATGACCAGTGCATGGGCTATTTCTCCAATGTCATGCACCATTACATAACTTACCCCTCAGATACAGCACATTTCTAATTCTCCTTACACATGAAAATTCTTTTCTTAGTTCCATTTCTGTTTAAACTTCTTCTGTGAAGCCTTTTGTGAAACCTTTAAGAATTCATATGTTTAAAGCATATTCATTTATCTTGACAGTATATTTTATTGCAATTGTTGGTTTAGGTGCTGGTCTTCTGTTAGAATTTATCAAATACGGGGAATAATCTTAGTTTTCTTTGCATTATTACTTAAGAAACTCTAGTAAATGGTAAATTTTCAATACTTGGGAGAAGAAGGGAAGAAGAAAAGAAGGAAAGAAGAAAATCAGTTATATAGCAGGCAGTCTAAACTGCCATCAGCAAAGAGAAAACTATAGGAATTTAGAAAATAAACTCTTCTTTCTTACATGGGATGAAACTGGGAAGAAGCAGGGAGTAATAGTTTGATATACTTCATTCACTGGGAGTTTCACAAGCTGTGAGACTGCTGCACCTTTTGTGAAAGGAGCAGACAAATAGATTTTGGCAACAGTAGAAATTGCTAAACGGCAGGAAAACATCATCCCAGCAAGATATTTCACTGCAGCCTCCCATTTCAACCAGAGCGATCAGACTCAAGGAAAGTAAATTTCTAGTGGATCCCTTTCATTGATCTCACATAAAGAACTGAAAGGCCCCCAAAGGTATCACTACTATCTTATTTGACTTCCAAATAAAATCTGTATGCGAGCTAGCAGAAAATACCAATTGTGATAGTTCATTTCACAGTTCTACAGGAAGAAATGTCAGGAGAGTGGAAAAAGAATATGACCAGCAGCCAAACTGTAAAAGAACAGGTACAGAGGGAACAAAAATGGGAATAAGAGGAAAGAAAGAACATTAGGGGAAGTTTTGCCAAGGCAAGACAGAATTGCCTTAGGATTCTTAGTTGTTTCACATTCATCCTTCCACCCCACTCCCAAGGAACCAGCTGTACTTGCTTAGAAATATTTTTTAGCCCTTTTATTTCCCTACAATCTTCATCGTCACTTACACTTATTAAAATTACATTACCCTATAACTGTCTATTGGAGAATGAGCCACTCGGAGCAATTTAATTAGTTGATAAAGCCATGGGATTTATGTTCTTTTCACATTTCTATTTTATTATGACTAAGAGACAAATGAAAGTGGAAAAGGATTATAATGTTATATAGTCACAAGTTTAAATGTGACCATCTGAGTTTCTTGTATGTGTCTTTTTTGGATTTGAAGACATTTGTCTAAAAAATTAATTTTAATTATGTATGTGTTGTTTTTGACAGAGAAATTGTGAAACAAGTTGTTCCAAAGATCAGTTCCAGTGTTCCAATGGTCAGTGTATATCAGCAAAATGGAAATGCGATGGCCATGAAGACTGTAAATATGGAGAAGATGAGAAAAACTGTGAGCCAGGTAAAATTCTTGAGGCCATATTTCATTTAACTAGTATTTTAACTTGGTTAGAATTTAACTTTAAGCAATGATATGCATAAAACAGTGGCAAATAATGCACATATTTACTGTTTTTAAGAAATAATCTGAAATATCTGTAGATAAATTAATTGGTGTGCCCTTCATACGTTTTGAAAGTGTTTTGGCGGGTAAGATTGTTATTATTTCAAGATCCAAGCATTACTCCCCAAAATTTGGTTTTCTGGTCTCTATATTTTTCTACACTATTTGGAGTTGTTTTTCCAAGACAGCAACATGAAATATGTTGAAACTGTAAGTATAATAAAAGTCAGGTTTCAATTCTGGAAATTAAGGTTATAAAACAGAATATAATAGTTTCAATGTGATACCAACTGAGAAAAAGGATGTCTATTATTTCTATTTGTATCATGGTCCAAAATAAAAATAAAATTAAGAAGCAAAACCAGAGTATAGGAAGAAAAACCCAATTTATACATTTCTATTCCTTAAACATGACTTTAAATATACTCATTAAATTAACTTTTATACTTAGGAATTTTAATAACAATATTCTACAGGAAAAAAATACTAGGGAAAAAAATCAGTTTGTAATCTATGTCTATGGTTATAAGCACTTTCATGGTTACTTTGAGAGACTAGGTCAGAATTGCAGATACCTGGCACACACATTGCCATTGTCCCAGTACCATGCCCATGGTCCATGTTGCTAATTGATCACATCTTTTTTCTTAATGAATCCAGACATATTCCCAGACTCCTTATTAATACAGATCCCTAGGCAAACACTGCCAATTAAAAGAAATTAAATCCCAAGGGAAAAGCTTTTTAGCATTCCTGGACTAAGTAATTTAGACCACAAAGTCATTATGTAAGTACATTTGGCTACCTAGTAGTCTAATATAAGGCCAAGAACCCCAGAGGTTTGAATACAAACTTAGCAAACTCAAGCACATAGACGAAGAAAGGCCTCATCATTATTATGTCAATTAATTAAATTGGGTATTGGTAGTAACTTATTTATCCACTTTTAAAAAAAATTTTCCATATCATAAAGAAATACTTCGAATTCTACAGACTCTGTTAATCATACATATATTCATATTTAAAACCCCAAACCAAAAAAAAAAACTTCTTAAAACTTATATAAATATGACATTTATATCAAAACAGCCAAATAGATATCATGGGGTCTATGAGACCATGCCAAGATTTCTACTTTTAGCTTTATACAATGCACATTATGAATTAACATTCCCAAAGGTCACTAAATCCTATTACAGTTTTAAAAATAATTTGAGGCTTTTGTCTTTTAAATAAATTAACTGAAAATTGTAAAAAAAATACATTTAACTCTTCACAAATCAGAAAGATGGAGGTTATAGAGCGTTTTTTTCTTTCCCTTTCTTTCTTTAGTCTAGTGAGTTGAATACTTATTGAACAGGCTATTACATCATGAGGTATATTTAATACAATGCAATAATATTGTAAAGCACATCTTAAGTCAATATTTAATATCAGATGTTGAATATAGCTCAAATAATCTAAACTGTTTTCATTACTATGTATAATTTTTATATGCTTATATATGCTTTTATCTATCAACCATTCATTCTGTTCACTAAATCTAAATTTCAACTTTATATTCAGCTTCTCCTACTTGCTCATCAAGTGAATATATATGTGCCAGTGGAGGATGTATTTCAGCATCTTTGAAATGTAACGGAGAATATGATTGTGCTGATGGTTCAGATGAGGTAAAATCTATTTTTTGGTTAAAATCTCTGAATTACATGAATTAGGTTTGAGAAAGCAAATATAGTAAAAAACAAAGAGACAGAATCTTGATTCTTAGCACTGTCTAAAATGTCAAGACAAGAACATTGAATACAGTAATTTCAGCAAATACCTGAATCTTCATGCTGTCCATAGACTAAACCCTATTGTCATTTGCAGAGGTGATATTCATTAAATAAAAATAAAAGAAAGCCCACAGTATAATCAATCTCCAGTATTGTCAGCTGCATGTTTATCTTGCTTGTGATGATAGCATTATCATTAATGAAAACTGCAGTGGCCTTTTGTATTTGAACAGATGGACTGTGTGACTGAGTGTAAGGAAGATCAGTTTCGATGCAGAAATAAAGCCCACTGTATTCCAATTAGATGGCTTTGTGATGGAATTCATGACTGTGTGGATGGCAGTGATGAAGACAACTGTGACAGAGGTAAGGTACTTTGTATGTGTGCGTGTGTGTGTGTGTGTGTGTGTGCGTGTGTGTGCGCATGTGCTCCTGCAAGTAAGAGAATGGCAAGAATGACAGTTAAGATGCTACGCAGAATATTTACATAGTGTGCTAGAGGCAGAGGATAAGATCATTAAATGATTCTCCTTTTCTAGTTTCATTACATAATAGCCTATTCTAAATAAGCAAAATCTGGCTCATTTTCAGACAAGAGTATAAATTTGTCTTCATATAACAAAGACAACCAAAATGCAAGTGTTTTTTGGGTGCCTATCATGAGCATGTCTTTGGACTAGATGTTGGGTCAGGGATGGGGATATGAGAAGAATCCAGGGAACATAGCCACTATAGCCATTCCTACCAAAGTATTTTCTGGGCACGTTTCTCTTCCATATTGCTTGCCTGGTTTCTGAATGACTAGAAACAGCATATGGTATACTGTACCACACCTACTGATATGCTAGATCATATATAGGTTATAGGTTGTGCCCCAAATTTCTTTCTTGCCATATAGTTGAGAAAATGACCTACATTATTTGTCAGTCTGAAAGAAACTTTCTGTTTTGTAGCATCGTTTTTTTCCAGCTATGTGAAAATCCTGACAGATAACTTTTTAGTTTAAGTCACCACATTAAAAATAGCAATTATGGCTACTTTAGAGTTAATGAGTGGAAAGCAAAGAAATTATAGGGTGAATCTTAAAATGATCACAAATTGCAGCATTCTTATTATTTTCATAAGATATTATGAAATATATATCTTATCGATATATATTATAATATATATATATATTTAGATATATTGTTTAAATACAAAAGTTATTTTTACCTACTTATAAAAGTCTCTCAATCAACTTTACATTTTAGAATATTTGGAACATCATCAACAGAGATGATATTAGATATTGACATATGTTGCAAGGCATTTGAACATTCAGGGTTTACACAGTTTAAATGGGCCTAAAGTATTTACTTCTGTCAATATCTAGTTGCTCAAGGAAAAATACCTTCTACTTTCTTTAATATTAGATCAAAACTTTATGATGTCCTATATTTCTATTCCAAACCTGATAAAGTATTGTTATATCAGCAGAAGAAATCCTATTTCTCATTTGGAATCTGCAGTACCTTATAAAAAACTGTAAAAGATTAAACTTCCATAATAGCCGTTTCTACTTTCGCTTAAGTTCTCACACTCTCTTTCTGTAATTGGTTACTCTAAAGAAAGCAAACTTTGTGGACATTCTGGTACCAACAACTCATATACAATCTTATAGTCAAAGACTTTGGGACCACAATTAAGCTACTCATCATTTACCATTTTCTAATTAATAAGCTCTTATCCCCTCAGCTTAAGTCACTGTCACCAGTCTTGTTCTTTTCCTTGTGGCTTCCTATCTGGGCTATTAGTGACCCAACTGGTCACCAGTACATCCTATTCACTGCTGCCATGTTCCTCTTATTTAAATGTAACTCTGGTTTTGTCAATCTTTACTTAAAGCTCTTCTTGGTTAGATACAAATATCACAACCTGGCAGTCAGGGTTATAAGAGAATGATCCCATTTCACCTTTCCAGTCTTATAACTCTACTAATCCTCTTTATGTACCCTAAATTCTAGCCAAACTGGAAGATAATATTCAAGCAATATCCTCCATGCTTTTCAACATCTTTCTTGATTATTCTACTACTTTGCCATCTCAATACCTTTGCCAGTAAAAAGTATATCTATTCTTTTTTTTTTTTTTTAACATCTTTATTGGAGTATAATTGCTTTACAATGGTATGTTAGTTTCAGCTTCACAACAAAATGAATCAGTTATATATATACATATGTTCCCATATCTCTTCCCGCTTGCGTCTCCCTCCCTTCCACCCTCCCTATCCCACCCCTCCAGGCGGTCACAAAGCACCGAGCTGATCTCCCTGTGCTATGCGGCTGCTTCCCACTAGCTATCTACCTTACATTTGGTAGTGTATATATGTCCATGCCTCTTTATCGCTTTGTCACCGTTTACACTTCCCCCTCCCCATAGCCTCAAGTCCATTCTCTAGTAAGTCTGTGTCTTTATTCCTGTTTCACCCCTAGGTTTTTCATGACATTTTTTTTTTTAATTCCATATATATGTGTTAGCATACGGTATTTGTCTCTCTCTTTCTGACTTACTTCACTCTGTATGACAGACTCTAGGTCTATCCACCTCATTACAAATAGCTCAATTTCGTCTCTTTTTATGGCTGAGTAATATTCCATTGTATATATGTGCCACATCTTCTTTATCCATTCATCCGATGATGGACACTTAGGTTGTTTCCATCTCCTGGCTATTGTAAATAGAGCTGCAATGAACATTTTGGTACATGACTCTTTTTGAATTATGGTTTTCTCAGGGTATATGCCCAGTAGTGGGATTGCTGGGTCATATGGTAGTTCTATTTTTAGCTTTTTAAGGAACCTCCATACTGTTCTCCACAGTGGCTGTATCAATTTACATTCCCACCAACAGTGTAAGAGGGTTCCCTTTTCTCCACACCCTCTCCAGCATTTATTGTTTCTAGATTTTTTGATGATAGCCATTCTGACTGGTGTGAGATGATATCTCATTGTAGTTTTGATTTGCATTTCTCTCATGATTAGTGATGTTGAGCATTCTCTCATGTGTTTGTTGGCACTCTGTATATCTTCTTTGGAGAAATGTCTATTTAGGTCTTCTGCCCATTTTTGGATTGGGTTGTTTGTTTTTTTGTTATTAAGCTGCATGAGCTGCTTATAAATTTTGGAGATCAATCCTTTGTCAGTTGCTTCATTTGCAAATATTTTCTCCCATTCTGAGGGTTGTCTTTTGGTCTTCTTTATGGTTTCCTTTGCTGCGCAAAAGCTTTTAAGTTTCATTAGGTCCCATTTGTTTACTCTTGTTTTTATTTCCATTACTCTAGGAGGTGGGTCAGAAAGAATCTTGCTGTGATTTATGTCATAGAGTGTTCTGCCTATGTTTTCCTCTAAGAGTTTGATAGTTTCTGGCCTTACATTTAGGTCTTTAATCATTTTGAGCTTATTTTTGTGTATGGTGTTAGGGAGTGATCTAACTTCATACTTTTACATGTAGCTGTCCAGTTTTCCCAGCACCACTTATTGAATAGGCTGTCCTTTCTCCACGGTACATTTCTGCCTCCTTTGTCAAAGATAAGGTGACCATATGTGCGTGGGTTTATCTCTGGGCTTTCTATCCTGTTCCATTGATCTATCTTTCTGTTTTTGTGCCAGTACCATACCGTTTTGATAACTGTAGCTTTGTAGTATAGTCTGAAGTCTGGGAGCCTGATTCCTCCAGTTCCTTCTTTCGTTCTCAAGATTGCTTTGGCTATTCGGGGTCTTTTGTGTTTCCATACAAATTGCAAAATTTTTTGTTCTAGTTCTGTGAAAAATGCCAGTGGTAGTTTGATAGGGATTGCATTGAATCTATAGATTGCTTTCGGTAGTAGAGTCATTTTCACAATGTTGATTCTTCCAATCCAAGAACATGGTATATCTCTCCATCTATTTGTATCATCTTTAATTTCCTTCATCAGTGTCTTATAATTTTCTGCATACAGATCTTTTGTCTCCTTAGGTAGGTTTATTCCTAGATATTTTATTCTTTTTGTTGCAATGGTAAATGGGAGTGTTTTCTTGATTTCACTTTCAGATTTTTCATCATTAGTATATAGGAATGCCAGAGATTTCTGTGCATTAATTTTGTATCCTGCCACTTTACCAAATTCATTGATGAGCTCTAGTAGTTTTCTGGTAGCATCTTTAGGGTTCTCTATGTATAGGATCATGTCATCTGCAAACAGTGACAGCTTTACTTCTTCTTTTCCAATTTGGATTCCTTTTATTTCCTTTTCTTCTCTGATTGCTGTGGCTAAAACTTCCAAAACTATGTTGAATAAGAGTGGTGAGAGTGGGCAGCCTTGTCTTGTTCCTGATCTTAGTGGAAATGCTTTCAGTTTTTCGCCATTGAGGATGATGTTTGCTGTGGGCTTGTCATATATGGCCTTTATTATGTTGAGGAAAGTTCCCTCTATGCCTACTTTCTGCAGGGTTTTTATCATAAATGGGTGTTGAATTTTGTCAAAAGCTTTCTCTGCATCTATTGAGATGATCATATGGTTTTTCTCCTTCAATTTGTTAATATGGTTTATCACATTGATAGATTTGCGTATATTGAAGAATCCTTGCATTCCTGGAATAAACCCCACTTGATCATGGTGTATGATCCTTTTAATGTGCTGTTGGATTCTGTTTGCTAGTATTTTGTTGAGGATTTTTGCATCTATGTTCATCAGTGATATTGGCCTGTAGTTTTCTTTCTTTGTGACATCCTTGTCTGGTTTTGGTATCAAGGTGATGGTGGCCTCGTAGAAGGAGTTTGGGAGTGTTCCTCTCTCTGCTATATTTTGGAAGAGTTTGAGAAGGATAGGTGTTAGCTCTTCTCTAAATGTTTGATAGAATTCGCCTGTGAAGCCATCTGGTCCTGGGCTTTTCTTTGTTGGAAGATTTTTAATCACAGTTTCAATTTCAGTGCTTGTGATTGGTCTGTTCATATTTTCTATTTCTTCCTGATTCAGTCTTGGCAGGTTGTGCATTTCTAAGAATTTGTCCATTTCTTCCAGATTGTCCATTTTATTGGCATAGAGTTGCTTGTAGTAATCTCTCATGATCTCTTTTATTTCTGCAGTGTCAGTTGTTACCTCTCCTTTTTCATTTCTAATTCTATTGATTTGAGTCTTCTCCCTTTTTTTCTTGATGAGTCTGGCTAGTGGTTTATCTATTTTGTTTATCTTCTCAAAGAACCAGCTTTTAGTTTTATTGATCTTTGCTATTGTTTCCTTCATTTCTTTTTCATTTATTTCTGATCTGATTTTTATGATTTCTTTCCTTCTGCTAGCTTTGGGGTTTTTTTGTTCTTCTTTCTCTAATTGCTTGAGGTGCAAGGTTAGG